ATGAATTAATCAAATCAACACCTAAAAGATAGGGATCCCAAAGACGGTACAATTGAGGATAACTTATAAGAATTAATTGGTACTACCTATACTAACAAGATGCATCTACTTTTCGGTAATCGGAATGAAAGAACTCTATAGTTAAGCGTGTTTAACTTAGAGCAATTCTGTGATGAAAAGCCTCGTGTTGATTTATGGAAACAATCATTGATCTTGCAAGAGACTGCTCGTTACAATATTAATCCTTCAAATATTTTTGTCATCATATTAGACTTAAAGAATTATGTGTTATTATATTAACCTTCTAAAATTTGTTGTCACTAAATTAAATTTTCAAAGATACAATATATTTACTAAATTTGTCATTTTGTATGATTATTTTAGTTTGCTATAAGAACAAACATAATGATATTTTAAATCTTTGAAAAACTAATTTAATGACAAAATCTTTGGAGAAATATTAGAATAACACATTGTTTTTGGATAGATAGACTAATTCAAATTGCAAAAATCTTTAAAGAAATTAATATGATAATACCATAATATAGAGAACCAAGTAGGTGTGAAAATTTTGAATTTGCAGATGTTTTATTTTTTAAGTATTCAAGATATTTGAAAGGGATAGGATCATTTGACATCAGTGTTAAACTAAAAAGTTTAATATCAAATTTTAATCGTTGATTTTCATCAATCTAGTGATTATAATTAATTAATAAATATGACCCAATAAATTATAACTGTTAGATTGACAAAATGAATGATGAAAAAACTTTTTCATTTTACATCTGTGTGGAATGATCCTGTCCTTTTTGAAATGTAAAAACTTAAAATTTGAAACTTCAGAGCACTACCTTTTTGAAGGAGCTAGCGTTAACAAATAAGTTCATGATTGTTTTCTTTCCCCATATTTGAATAGAGATATTCAACATTAAAAAAATGAGTAGATATTTTATATTAACTAAGAGTCCTTAACATAATTGACTTGTGGAGATTTCACTCATTATTTGGCTGAAAATAATGGAAAGTCCTAATCAAAGTCTTCTTGTAGCCTCTTACCACACAGTTTCCAACATTACTCAAGAACATAATGACCGCTGCAGAACTCAAGGTTGGCCCAATTGATCAAAAGGGGGGAAAAAGAGTATGATAAAAAGTTACATATTATATTTTTAAATTTCAGTGGAAGTTAATGCTTCTTCCCTCCACAGTTTATTCAATTTGAATCTCTGCATGCATATAGATTATTAGATTTATAGGGGCTCCATCTTTATTCACTTGTTACTCTTTTTTGTGACAACTGCAAAGTCAGCAGTCCCTTTTTCCCTCTCGGTGGCACTCTTTAAGAATTTGTCAAACCCCCTAAATACAACACCATTTCCTAGCATGGTTGTTTGGATACCACTTCAAAAGTTATTTTAGAAATTTAGAGTAAATTATGAAATTTAAAAAGATATATAAAACCATTACAAAAACTCTTACCCATCAGCTTAAATTTTTGGGTTGAATTGGTTCTTTACATGGTATCAGAGCCTCGGTGTACCGGGTTCAATTCTCACCACCCCACTTTCTTTCAAGTGAAATTTCTTTCTTCGCACAGGTAGGTGGACCTGTGTATTGTCCACCCTTCAAGTCCAGTGGACTCTCGTGTGAGGGGGCGTATTGAGATATATAAAACAATTAAAAAAAACTCTCATCCATCTGCTTAAGCTTTTGGGTTGAATTGGTTCTTTGCAGATTATTTTGTTTGGCACAGCCAATCTTGATTTCATTTTAGCTTTTGAAAATAAGTGTTACTAAGAATAATTCAATGTGAATTATATTTTGTAATTAATCACTACTCACTAAACTGGGAACCCGCAATGCAATGGGGATGGCAAATAAACTAAACTTTTATACAAATGGACATGGTGGCGCATTTGCAATCATCAGTTCATCAACCGCTTCAAATTTTAAAATAGGACTCAAATCAACCTATAATCTGTTAAACTGAAAATTTATATACGAACAATATTCAAAGGAAAAAGTTAAGGAAAGATGTATCCCTCCCCCATCGTCGAGAGGGAAACAGCCCGGAAGTGTATGTTCCTGCGCGAATCTCAGCAATCACTTGTTCTGATTCCACATATTGATCATTTTGAACTAATAGAAAACTTTTTGGTGGAATAGTCACGTCATGTATAATATCGTCACTTTCAATAGTTACATACAATATGGAATTTCGTCCTAATCAACAAATGAAATTCAATTAATGAAATAAGAAAAGAAGGTGTGGGTGACTTGTATATAGATTTTATCCCCCTTCGTTCTCTTGTTCTATTCATACCTTATTTTTTCTTTTTTGTTGTTGACATACAATGTCGTTTTCTATAGCCACAAAAATATATTTCTATCTATTAAAAAAATGGATAGAAATAGCTTGGCGCCAGGATGATAAAAAAAAAGCTTAACACCTCTCATTCTTATTCGTTTTTCAATATGAAAAACAAATAAGAATGAAAAATGAAAATGTCAGGGGGTGTTTGGTACAAGAGAATTTTTTTTTATCCAGGAATCACGATTTTCAGAAAAATGATGAGAAAATGAGTTTTCTGAGAATGTTACCAAAAAGTTGTTTGGTAGACTAACATATTTCCGGGAATATTGAGTTAATTTTGTTGATGCTGTGTTTAGTTGTATTAAATTTTTCCTTGCCATAAAAATTCTAAAATACCACCTTCTAGATGGTATTCCTGGATGGTTTTTTCAAAAAAAATTACACACAAAAGAAAATCCCGGGAAAATCAGATTTCCGGGAAAATTTTAAAAATCCTGTACCAAACGATGCATTCTTATTTACCCAACCAAAGAATTCCGGGAAAACAAAAAAAATCCTGCTACCAAACGAGCCCTTATAGTCATTTGAAAATGACAATTTGTCTTCTCTTTTTAAATATAGTAAAATAAAATATTCAACTATTCACAAAATTTCAATATGCTATCCAAAAGGGTTTTTGAAACATTTTTGTTTAGAAATTGGATAACTATAATTTATGGTGACTTTAATATCACTCATGATTTTTCACAATTTGTTACTCTACCTCTTTTAAACAGTAAAGTTGTTGATATTTTAAACTAGATTAATTTGTTTCATGATCATACTTCTAAACATAAGTTAATCATTTTCTTTAATTAAAAATTGTCTAAATAGAAAAACTAGTCACATATTATTGGTATTGAGCAATAGTCGATTATTTTAGCATAAGATATATTTTTAAGGGAAATGATTTGTTTACAATTTTTTTTTACAAATTACATTATGTACTCCTGAGAGAACATAGTGTTCTCCCAGAAAAACTAGTTTGTAAATATAACCATCCTTCGTTTTTAATACAATACAAGGTAAACTCTATGTTCTTTAATATAATAAAACCAAACTTTACAAAAAATTAAAAAAAGAAAAGAAAAGAATGAAATGGGACACAGTATTGGTGAATAGTAGAGCTTAAAGTTGTTAGTTTCTCTGTTCGATCTGATTGACGGTTGAAGTTTCCAAATACTTGTTGTGTAAAAGAATTTGTGCTGAACGTAATTATATATATATATATATAGAATAATAGGTTTTCATGCGTTCAGAAATTTAAAATTCTCCCACAAACTATATACTCCAAGTAATATATAATTATAATATTAATTTTTTTTTCATATTTCTTATAACTATGTACTTTGGAGAATACAAAGTTATAATATTAAAAGTTATTTTTTTATATTATAATTATGTATTTTCCGAAATATATAATTTACAGGAGAATTTCAAATTCCTACAATATGAAAAAAAGACCCATATATATATATATATATGTATATATTAGTATTATAATTTTTTTATTTATATGTGTTAATGACTAATTTTTATTTTAACATCAGTTTAAGTTTAGTCATAAGATACTTTCATGGGACATACAAAGTCTACCTATTAAACTACACTTTGTGATGTAAGCACTTTTAAAAGCTGTATACAGAATAAATTTATGTAATTTGTATAATAATATACGTAGAGTGATTTATGATAAAAATAGGAAGAGTATTTATTTTTGTTGGAAAAAACATGTGTGTATAAGTATAACATTGATCCAAAGATCATGTGGACCTGACATTGATTTTGTGAATTCCTTAATTTGAACGCTGAGGTGATATTTAATTTTTGGAAATTTGAATGTACTCCGATTTTGGACGCATGTGTGTGACATTAGTAACTCGTAAGGACTCCTCTGACCAGTTGGCGAGTAACGTGTTTGCTAGTTAGCATGCCAAATGGACAAAAACGTAATTGGGAAACGGCACAAAAGACAGTTAACTTAGTAACAAAGTATTCTTACGAAAAAAAATAATAACACCCAGACCGGTACGCTTGACCTTAATTCTTTCATAAATCATAATTTATAGTAATTTTCGTTTTCTTATCTAAAAGAAACGTTAGTATATCAAACATAAAGCTAATACAAACAATTGCAGAACATTAATAAATCTTACATATAAACTTGTTTAAATGTTTAAATAAAGATAAAAGCTTGGACAATTCATTAAGTTACATACATACCAATAAGAAAAGGAAATGAGAAGAAGTAATCCATGATTAGAAAGTGGATTGAGCGGTTGGGGAAGTTGAATGAAATTGAATGCTGCCGGCCTACGATTCATTTCGGGTGTGAGGTGACAACTCCTTCTTCTCTTTTGACTCAGTGCACAAAAAAAAAAAAAAAAAAAAAACACGTACATCCCGATCCTGCCCATAGTTAAGGAGCTTTAATTTGAAATAAGCAAGGGTGGTTTTGGAAATGAAAGAAAAGGATAGGGACCCAGTATGGACCATCGCAAGCAACCTCAGTAAGTATCAGCAAAATCGTAGTCAAAAACACGCACTACTCTGTGGAAGCGGAATTTATGTGAGTCACATCTCACACGATTGAAGAAGTGCAGTGCAACTGCTTATTGAATTCATTTGTTTATTTTAATGAGCAAACCCTTCCTCTCGTGTTGAAATTTGAAGAATGGCCACCTATCAAGGTGGTGGTAGCAGTTACAGAAATGGCAGTCACAGTCACAGAAGCTCTCTCAAGGACAAGGTGGATAGTCACACTCAGAGGACTCTCTCTCTGAAGCCACATCTCAAGTCCAAACCTAACCAACGTCGGAATAGCACCGACACCGCCGGTAACTTCATGCATTCTCCCTTCGTTGAGATCTTCGTTTCTTGTTTCCCCCCTTTTTTGCTTTTGCATCTGCTATCTGATTATTAGTATACATTTTCTGTTTGATGATTAATAATTGTCATTTGCGCCTTAATTCCATGATAATATCAATGAATGCATTTCTGCTTGTGGAGGAAAAACCTTTCAGGATCCGTGAATTTTGGTAAGAAAAAACCAGTAAATAAACAAATATATTTGTAAAAAAAGAGGTGAGACTATTTATTGAAGCTTAATTTAAAGTAATGCTCTCGGTTTGGTCCTAAAGCGAACATGCTTATGTTTGGGTGAAGTTCCTGGAAGAGTTAGGGTAGCTGTTAGATTGCGGCCCCGAAATGCAGAGGAATCAGTGGCAGATGCTGATTTTGCTGACTGTGTGGAACTACAACCAGAGGTATATGTTAAATCAACTCCATAGCTTCCAGCTGGTGTCTTTACGCGGTTGTTGGGCAGTTAATCTTAACAATCTACCTCTATTGCAGCTCAAAAGGTTAAAACTTCGGAAGAACAATTGGGACGCAGATACTTATGAATTTGATGAGGTGCTCACTGAATTTGCATCACAAAAACGTGTTTATGAAGTTGTGGCCAGACCTGTTGTGGAGGTGGGTATTCATCATCCAGTGGTTTGCGTTCAAACTCTGTAATCATTTGATAATCGGGTTTTTTTATATGTGAGGGTGCATGAACAAGTAGTTTCAGGATATCTGGTAGAAATTTAAATGCATTTTTATAACATGATCAAATATGGTTTCACTTTTAGCTTTTAGAAACTAGTTTTGGTAAAGTGAGGTGGGTTAACTGGGTGACTTCTTGCTTGGAATTTCCCTACTTTCTGGAGTTCATCATTATTGATTTTCTCAAGAATCAACCCAGAAATCCTTACACATTTATTTTGGTGCATGTTCTCATAACATGGAAGTGTGGAAGACTATTCATACTAAAACAAATGTGAATTTGGGCAAACGTGCTCTTTGCGGAACTTTTTTTTATTACATGCCTTACTTTGACCTTCTGCAGAGTGTACTGGATGGCTACAATGGGACAATTATGGCTTATGGGCAGACTGGTACTGGTAAAACTTATACTCTTGGACGACTTGGGGAGGAAGACACAGCTGCACGTGGAATAATGGTGCGAGCTATGGAGGATATTTTTGCAGATGTTTCTTTAGAAACTGATTCAGTCTCAGTCTCTTATTTGCAGGTACTTATCAATTAAACAGATTTTGGTCTGTATTTCTAATTTAGTTTCATTGCCTGTGAGTACATATCAATATTAACATCACCTTTGTCCCAAACTAGTTGGGGTTAGCAACTGATGAATCAAAATAAAAAGCAAGAAAAGATTGAGAAAAAAGAAAAATAAATAAGAGAGCAAAAATAATTAAAAAATAAATATAGGAAACACACACACACATATATATGGTTTAAAACTTCTCCTCACATACACACACATATATATATAGTTTTAAAACTTCTCCTTTAACAGGAGAAGTTTGATCTTATGCTATAGACTCATGGGGATTAACACTGCTTTTAAATTATTATTATTTTGCTCTTTCCAGTGGTGGGTCCCATTGGAATTGTGTGTCTGCGGGAGAAGCTTAAATTTTCCTGTCACATGAGAACTTTATATATATATATATAGTGTTGTGAAGTACTTGTTAAATTTATTCAGACTCCATATGTTAATATGATGTTTCTTAATGTCCATATTTAGCTTTATATGGAGACTATACAAGATCTTCTTGACCCCACCAATGATAACATAACCATTGTAGAAGATCCCAAAACTGGTGATGTTTCACTACCTGGAGCAAGCCTAGTTGAGATTAGGGACCAGCAGAGTTTTGTGGAACTACTAAGATTAGGAGAGGCTCACCGGTTTGCTGCGAATACAAAACTGAATACAGAATCTTCTCGAAGCCATGCCATTCTGATGGTAAATGAATTCACATTTCTTATGGCTCTCATGTTCTTGTGTTTTTAGGAGTTATTGTTCACTGTTCAATATTTCCATTTTTAATCTTGTTGGAGGATTGATTATACCTCTGATACAATAGGTGCATGTAAAGAGATCCATCAAGGGAAGAGATGCTGCTCTTTCAAGTGAAAATGGCAATCATCCACACATGGTGAAATTATTAAAGCCACCTGTTGTTCGGAAAGGCAAATTGGTTGTTGTAGATCTTGCTGGTTCAGAGAGAATTGATAAGTCAGGTTAGTAGATTTGATAAGGTGGATTTTCATATTCATCTGTTTGTAGTGGCTTTATATTATCAGAGGCTTTGCTTAGAGGAAACAATCCATATTTCTCTCCCATCTTTTTCCTTACTTAATATTTTATAAATGTTGATATACAAATGCTTTGAAGCAATGCAAAATCTTTCTAATTGCTTGGCTAATATAAGTCTTCCATGCTCGAGGGAAAATGTTAGTTACCCGAGATGGAAAGATATACAGTTTCTGTCTCCATTATTTTCTAGTTTTATTGTCATAAAATGCAGAAGATTATCAGTTGCAATGGGATGCTTGACAACCAAATTTGGATTCTTGTCAAAATAAAACTTGTATGGCTTATTTAAGAATTGAGGCTGATAAGATCATCATGTTGTCACAGTCCTATTACTCCGGCAAATAAGGTTGTTTTGCTTGGTATAACATCCGTGCTACTTATTGAAGTTGTATCATTATTTGTTACTTAATAGGAAGTGAAGGACATACGTTAGAGGAAGCCAAATCTATCAATCTGTCCTTGAGTGCATTGGGGAAGTGCATTAATGCACTTGCAGAGAATAGTGCGCATGTGCCATTTCGTGACTCAAAGCTTACTAGACTATTACGTGATTCGTTTGGAGGTAAGATTCAGTGATTATAAGAATTGATATTTTCTCCTTGTTCCTTTCTTTTGTTTTGGTTTGAGCTTAGCATTTTGATAATAAAGCACCAGATTTTCAATTATGCATGTTATGTAGTGGACTCTGATAGAGGTATAATGCGCTGGTAACCTGTGTCAGTCACATGTTTCTGCATGCGGGAATAAAAAATTGGCTCAATAATTAAAGAATTACCGTGGGACACATTCAATCCGTACATATAAAACAAATGGTGAAGCTTAGGACACTTTGGGAGTAGTATTCTGATGTTTAAGAATAAATTGCTGACCATTGTTCAAACTTGTATATACTTCGTGGACAAATCTTTATCAAGGTTTGTGTTGAATGCCTCTGAAGTCACCTTTTCTTGAAATATCATTGACATTAGAGGGAAATCATGGGTTGGAAAATTCATATATAAATTATTTCATTCTAGATTCGAGATATTATTATGAAATACATATTTTGTTAAAACTGTCAAGCATCTTTAACTTTGATGAACCATATCTCTACAGTCTATGTTTTCCGACATCTAAATGTTTTAATAGGTACAGCAAGAACTTCACTGGTCATTACTATTGGACCGTCTCCAAGGCACAGGGGTGAGACTGCCAGTACTATAATGTTTGGACAGAGAGTGAGTTCCAACTTTCTTTTTTTTCACTGCTACTTGTAATATTTTTATAGCAGCTGAAATGCCCCATGTTCTTTTTGCTATGGCTTCCTGTTCTGCAATTAAATTTTAAGCCCATGTTGTTGCCAATTTATTTCATGAGGATATTGCATATACTAAGATATGACTGGGTGTCTTGTAATCGTTATTAAGATGCTGAATATTTGTGCATTGTGCCTCTTGTAGGCTATGAAGGTGGAAAACATGGTAAAGTTGAAGGAAGAATTTGATTACAAAAGCTTATCTAGGAGGCTGGACGTAGAATTAGATAAACTCATTATGGAACATGAAAGGCAGCAGAAGGCATTTGAGGATGAGATTGAAAGGTTAGACACAGAAGCACAACATCGGATATCTGAAGCTGAAAGAAACTATGTAGATTCATTGGAGGTTGGTTCTATATCAATTTTATATATCTATGTCATATGTATTGCAACTTGAATTAAAGAGTATCTTTTACACGGCCGTCGAATCAGACAGTTTCTGGTACAGTTTATCCATAGTATCACATGTAACTATTCTTCAAGATCATATTGTCCATTTATTGCATGCTAGGTTAAGATGATTTGGTATGTAGCATGACTTAAGTAACTTCATGAAGTTCAATTAGCAAATTACATTGTTGATTTGATGTTGATGATTTTCTGGTGAATGTGTACTGATACTCAGTTTGCTTTCTCAGAAAGAAAGATCAAAATATCAAAAAGACTACATGGAATCAATTAAGAAGCTTGAAGAGCAGTTGGTGATGAATCAACGAAAGAATGAGGACCCTTATATGAAATCGAGTGGAGAGGTAGAAGTTTTTATGAAACTATATTGTCTTAAGCTAATTACAAAAGGTGAAATTGCTAAGAATAGCAGAGTTGTAGATCAAGTCCTCTGGAAACCTTAAAGAAGAACAGATAGGACTTGTGGGGAAAATCTCATCTAAAGTAATTTCAGGATAAGGATTTTTGTAGCCAAACTTGTTAATTTAATGAATTTTAAGTTTTTTATCTGAATTTGTCACTTGAGTTATGCTTGGGCTATTTGTTCTCATAGACTTAAGGACTTAAATATTCCAATGAAGCCAAACTAAATTTAAATTTGTGAATTTGAAAACAATATGTGATGGCTCAATATCCAATAGTAAAGGATGCCCACTTAGTGATTGGGAATTTTCCCCAATCGAACATTGGTTGTATATGGCTCACTTAAATTGTCTTTTCGTGGATTCCCAAGGTATCTGCTGAGGAATTGGCAGATTTGAAAAAAATGCTTCAGAAAGAGACTCTTTTAAGAAAAGCGGCTGAAGGGGAAGTAAATAATCTTAAGATTCAAGTGACTGAACTGAAAAAGTCAGAGGTATGTTCTGTGCCTCCAATATTTATATTTCTCACTTGCATGTCCTTTTCCTTGTCTTCTTGGTATATGAATTAATTTTACATGGATTTATTTACTGTGATAGGCATCAGGAAAGTCGGAGATCTTAAAACTTCATAAGATGTTGGAAGATGAGGCACAACAGAAAGAGAAACTTGAAGGAGAAATAGCAATATTACAAAGTCAGTTGTTGCAGTTAAGTCTTCAAACTGACGAGGTAAGCTACATCTAAAATGCGCAAATGCCATAGTTAAATGGCTTTTATCTAGCAGATGTTTTATAGAAGGGTGACCACTTTTGCATTATATTTTGTTTCCCTCTCATGGTTGTCATGGTAGAAAACTGTTATAGAAATCTCTTACAAACCTAGAAACTAATTCTGAGATTTCAGAGATAGAGAGAGAGATAGATGGGAAAATAGAAAATAGAGAAGAAAAAAAAACAGCTTTGTGATGAAGATTGAATGACAAGCAGAAAAAAGGAGAGAAGTCTCCTTCCAAGGGTTTCCCCTTTTTGCAACCGAGCTACTTCTTAGTTCCTAAATGCTAACAATTCAAAATCCTCTTCTTCTCCTCTCCTATTATTTAAAGTCCTTGCTTCTACAACTCTAAGTCTCTAACCACCTAACCAATTTCGTAACTACTCTCGAGTCTTAACCACCAAACTAATTCCATAACTACTCTAACTGCTTTGCCTCTTTTTTCTTTTTTTCTTTTTTAAATTATGCTGACATTCTTCTGTCGTGGATCCAAAAAAACTTTTGAATTGAACTAATTACTCAATTTGCATTTATTACCATGCATATTCATTTTGATTCACAAAGAAATGGATGATCTCTTTCTGAAAGCCTTTTTTTAATAAAAATTCAAAATTTCTATCGTTTTTATCATGTTTACTTCCTAAACGGGAAAGTAAACTGATTTTAAGAGGAAGAAATGACTTTCCTTTGTTTTTGTTTGAAATCCAGCAATTGAATAAGCTACTACAGTCTAAAATACTATTCATTGGTTTATGGCCCATTTAAGAAAATGATCCATGAGTTCACTGTCCGTGTCCTTATGATATCTATCTAATGGAGACACTAACGATGATAATGCACAAGTTGATACTGCAGAATTTGAGCGTAACTTATTTTTGCTTAGTTTACCTGATTTTTTCTTCTACTTAATTGTTCTGTTTTTCCCCCATTTCTTTTCTTTTCTCATCTCTGGAGGTGATTTGGGATTTCAACTGATGAATGAAATGTGTTGAGACTGTTTAAATGAAAACAAACCAACAATGTTGTTTTTTGTCATTTCTGGTCATTGTTTGCTCTGCTCATGCAACTTCATGTATGATCATGTGCTGGAATACTATTTAGTGTTATCTATTGGACATTTATCCTATAGACAAGAAGACAACTTGACAGAGATGGATTTGAAAAAGAAGTGGATGGTCTTGATTCTCTTACTTCCCAAGTTAAGCATCAGCAGCAAGCTTCAGGAAATGGAGAGAAGCCCTCAATAGCCAAGCTCTTTGAGCAAGGTAGTGATTAGAATATATTGTTTGTGTTGACAACTTGACATATATTTTATTAATATATTATTGTGTCTATTTTGAAATTATTTCTTCCTGATAAAAAAAGTATTTTTACAGTGGGATTGCAGAAGATTTTGTCATTGCTTGAAGCAGAAGATGCTGATGTGCGAGTCCATGCTGTGAAAGTTGTAGCAAATCTAGCTGCTGAAGGTTGCTGTTTTACCTGCTTATGTTGAAATAAATTCCTTAAAAAAAACTGAAAATATAATTAGCATGACCTGTGAATAATTTGATTTGGAGTCCATGAATCTGTGGAGAAAGTTGAAGTTCAGTATTCTGAATCTTTGTTAAAACAAATATCAATAACACGTCATATATTTGGCTTGGTTTATAAAATGCACTGATTCAAAGAAGGAAAGTATTTCCTAAACTATGTTTACTTTATAGAACCTGGTGTTATAAGAACCATCAGCCCTAACATATATCTAACTTGATATTACAGAAACAAATCAGGGGAAGATTGTACAAGCAGGCGGACTCACATCCTTGCTTACACTGCTTAAGAGCTCACAAGATGAAACCATACATAGAGTTGCAGCAGGTGCTATTGCAAACTTGGCAATGAATGGTAAACATTTCTTTGCCCTTCTTTCCACCTTGTAACTTCATGAAATAAAAATATTTATTACTGAGATATCTTTCTTTTTCCCTGGTCTCTGCACCCTTATTCTGTGTCTTAACAGAAACCAACCAAGAACTCATTATGGCCCAAGGGGGCATTAGTTTGCTGTCAATGACTGCAGCCAATGCTGAAGATCCTCAAACCCTTCGAATGGTTGCTGGAGCCATTGCTAATCTTTGTGGCAATGGTAAATTGCTGATCTTATTCTATTTTTGAAATTGTTTTAATTGCCTGCGCTATAGATGGATTTTACTGCAATGTAGATAATGCATTCAATCTCAGAGACTCATAGCTTATAGAAGATCCTTCTAGTGAGGTGTAATGTAGGATAGTAGGATACAAATCAGAGACAACAAATTTGTTGAACCAACTGCTTTCCTGATTGTTTCCATCTATAATAATACAAGAAAGTATAGACAGAATCATTTGTTTATTCTAGCTATTGCAATATACAATCATACTTTATTGTTGGTTACTTCTGGTAAAACTTTCCTCTTGTTGGTTGGAATTCCTGATTTTAAAAGGATCATGAAGCCATCCGTTAAACAAATATATTTCAATAAATAGAATCATGCACAAAAAGTGAAGTTGTATTAATAAGGTGTTTGGTGTCTCTTAGAGATATAATCATTAATATAACCTCACCCAACAGCTTAAACTTTTGGGTTGAATTGGTTCTTTACATGGTATTAAAGCCCACTAGGTCTTTTAGTCTCTTTAAATAGAGAATTATTGTACTGTTATTCATATAATTCAATAATATACAAATCTTCTTTTCAATTTGGTATCAGAGCCTCGGTGTCCCGGGTTCGATTCTCGTCGCCTCCCATTTTCTTTGTGGAATTTCTTAGCACAGGTAGGTTGGGTCTGATGCATCATCCACCTTTCAAGCCCAACGAGTTCTCTTGTGAGGGGGTGTGTTAGAGATATATAAAATTATTAATGTAATCTCACTCAACAACTTAAGTTTTTGGGTTGAATTGGTTATTTACAGTGTCATAATTGTTGAGATCTTGATCATGATGCTAAGTTCATCTATTTTTTTTTCCCTTTAAATTCAGCTGCTTGTTTTCTATAGTATTTTTGCCTTCGTTGTGCCTGGTGAGCGCTCTAAAAATTTCATGTTGAAGGGTAAAGGAAAAATATATGTTTGGCCCATGTTGAAAATGTCAAGCAGTTGCTTTAAGAGGGGTCTCATGGGGCTGTGTTTGCTATAGTCTAGGCATCATGTACGAAATTTATTATCTTGAAACAAAATAACCTGCCGTCACTGAAAGTTTGGTGTCTCTGCATCTAGATAAGCTACAAATAAAACTAAGGAGCGAAGGTGGTATCAAGGCACTGTTGGGAATGGTCAGATGCAAACATCCTGATGTACATGCACAGGTTGCTCGTGGAATAGCAAACTTTGCGAAGTGTGAGTCAAGAGCATCTAGTCAAGGTAACTTGTATAGGCAGCTCCCCAAGTCACATAAATTGGTTGTGATGAACATTATTATGTTCATTGGAATGACACTTTTGCCTTTGAAATCACACAGATTTCTTCCCTCTGATTCGTGCATTACTTCCATATATCAGTTTTCATATGTCACTCGGCATATTTTGGGTTTGCAATATTGTGCTCGATCAGCAGCGTCTATTATTGCCTGAGTTAAAGTTTTGCCATATTGTACAGGGACAAAGAGTGGAAGATCTTTCCTAATTGAAGATGGTGCCCTTCCATGGATTGTGCAAAATGCAAATAACGAAGCCTCATCAGTTAGGCGTCATATTGAGCTTGCACTCTGTCACTTAGCACAACATGGTAAGTACTAAGCGAATTCTATATGTGAACTAGATACGAAATTTTGATTGGGTCATGTCCCTAAGACGCTCTAGTTGATGCATTCCAGAAGTAAATGCAAGAGACATGATTAGTGGGGGTGCACTATGGGAGCTAGTTCGTATCTCGCGAGATTGTTCACGAGAAGATATAAAGACTCTTGCCCATCGAACGCTAGTCTCCAGCCCAACTTTCCAAGCTGAAATGAGACGTTTGCGGGTAAATTACTGAAGGATTCTGCAGAATAAACTAAAGTGGGCTAAAAGATCTGAAGATAAATGATACCTTTTAAGTATTTTGGATGTATTACTCTTTTTAAGTTATCAAGCAGGAAGGCTATATTTAGTGTTCTAGCTGAAATTCTAAAGGAGGTCCTTTTATGTGGTTGTCTTAATCAAGTTAAGTCAATCTGGTGTCTCTGGTCCGCTTGCTAGTGTCTAGCTTCTGGGGGTGTAAATTGATTTGTATATGAAATAGTGGAAGGGTAGTGACATTTTTGAGTTTGTTCCATGAAATAGCTTGTCGCTATTCATAACGACAACTGATGATTTATCGATTAGTGATGATTTTCAACAAAATTCTATTTTAGAAAGAGGGGACCCCGTGAACTTTTTTTTTTTTTTTTTGTCCTCAGAACGAGTGCCCTACCAAGTTGCAAAAGCGAATGTATTATTACTTTGATTATTGCCTTTGATAATTTGAGATGACTTAATTAGGTATACAATAAAGGCATATGCGCCATAAACGTGGGACTGAGAAAAAATAAAGAAAAAGTAGTCTTATAGTTAATATTTATTATTGGATAATGATGCCTGGCTGGGGACGGCGCCTGCCTTAATCAGGTTATCTTAATAATGATAGTCACCCAAATTATCCAAGTGTTTGCATTTGAATTCAATTGGTCTAACCAAAATTAATTTTGGTGGGACTAGTTACACATAAATACAGACAATGGCCAAGTGATGCAGAGATTGCAAGGAAAATGTGTAAATAATATTACTATTGTTGTGAAATGAGCAAAGCTGCAAAGGTTTGAGTTAAGTTGATGATCCTCAACCTGAGCGCATTTATCTACTTTGGTCGTTAAGAATGATAATAGACTAACAGGAGCAGTGAGTTACAAGAATAAGAGATGCCTCAGCTGACGGGTAGCTTTAGTATAATTATAATACGGTCAATGGAGTTATGGAGGCGGAAAATTTATCAATCGGAATAAAATACACCCTTTTTTTAAAGAAAACATCGTTTTCTAAATAATTACTTGCTAAATAAATTAAAATGCAAGACCCGTGAAATACCAATTGGTCAATCTAATGCGGGAAGCGAGCCAGGTTTCACATAGTTTTTGTTTTTTTCCGTGGGCTGCGTGTTTCATTACAAGAGTGAATGATCAAAAATCAAAGTCAGAGACAGTTTCGGTTCTCTTGTCTCCATCAAGAATAGAGTTGATTGGCTCCACAACATGCTTACTAATTAGTTAAGGATCTAATAATTAATACATCCTATTCCTGTGGATGAATTTTGACGCTCGGGCACGGTTAAAGATGGCCTAGTATTATCTTATCTCAGTGTATATTATTCTCGCAATTTTAGTTGTAGATCTCATTTGCACTAATATATAAATTAAAATTGTTAGATAAAAATAGAATCAACCATTAAAATTTGATACAAGATTCGATATAAGTTTAACCTTACCCGTTAAAGGTTATTATGTTTACTATAATTAAATTAAATGTTCTCTAAGTCACTATCCAACTATGTAAAACAATTACTCCCAAAAGCAATTAAGATTAAAAAATTGGCACAAAATAAAAGCATCATTTTTCTTAAAGGAAAAAAAAAAAAGTAATTTGCGCATTACCTGAATAGAGGGAAGCATAATTTGGATGGAGACGAGAAAGTTGTGGTTAGAGCCGCAACAAAGGACAAATAATAATTAAAGCTTCCAACGAAGAATGGGTTGGTAAGGAACCTACCATTATATAAACTACTAAGTAGGTTAAAAGAAAACAAATAAAAAACTAAGAGATTCTTACTTTAAGGAAACAAAATAGTACCTGCCTCAAAGAATCCTGTCTATAATTTTAAAATCGTCTGACCAATAGAATAGAGCAAGATTCACACTACAAACACTACAAGATGAAAAAAAAATGTCTCACTGAGGATTGAAAATGATCGGATAAGTTCATGTTGTAATTCATTTAGATCAGCCAAGCCAGCTATTGGGGGAGGAAAAGCAACTAGTTTCCATGCATATGAAATAATCTTAAACCGTGTTTGGCTTCAACTTGGAAGGGTTTAATATGAAAGAAAGAAAAAGAGAGGAAGAGAGAGAGAGAGAGAGAGAAGGAGGGTGGGAGGGAGACAGGCTATATAACACGCTCGGGGACCTTATTATCTTGGTTATCGTTGCCTTTTAATGAATATGTTGGTGACTGCCTCGAAAAAGAGCTTTGATCAGACACTGCATGTGTCCACCAGTTGCCAAACTTATATCTTTATCTTCTTAATTACTATATATGTGATATGTACTCTAAAATGAAAAGAATAAATAAAAAGACATCCATATTTTAATCATTTTAATTTTTTCTAGAATCTTGGAAACAAATGTTCTAAGATAGTGGCTAAGTAGCTTTAATAATCTTACATTAAATCCTCATATTTATTTAAGAGGTAGGCAATTAAAAAAAATTCAATTTTCAATATATTAAATACGTTTATTTTTATTTAATGATTTTTATTTTAATTCCCTTAACGAGCTCCTTAAGTCCACTACTTAGCAATTATAGCAAGTTCATATTTGTTTAACCTAAGATATGCTCTTCTTAAGTATCAAGTGTCTCGTCAAGAAGCCTCTGCCAGTGAATCCATCACTATGTATATTTTATTAATGAACAAAAATAACGCAACCTTCAATTCAGAAATATATGCGCGCTGCTAAAACTGATAGATGAAGCGCTTAAAATGACGAGCACGAAAAATGATGAGAACAAGGAATGGAATGAATAATAACCTCCAAAAGTGAGTTTTCAAGCACTACTTCACTACTATGAATACAATCGAAGGCACAACATGCAGTAAGAAGTAGTACAAGCCAGCTGCAACTCTGACCACACTTCTCCTCCGCCATGCTTCTCTTCTCATTCTCTTCTTCATACTACTATCTAGTAACTTCATACTACTGCTTCACCTCGAAGTTCATCGAAGAAAATGTACCCATGTTTTTTTTAACTCACCAAGGATCCATCAATTTAATTACAGTCTCAATTCAAATACACGTAAATTAATAACATATATCAACTCACCTAATATTAATCATCAAAATGACACACAGATTCTAAAGAAGCGCATAGAACAGCTCAATCGTACGTTCAACATCCCCTCCTATTCCCTAGTTTTTTTTTTTTCTTTTCTTCTAGCTTGAGAGTTTGGTGAATTTCAAAAGGCTAAATTAACAAGAAAGGAATAAAAGAAAAGCAGCAAATAGTGTAGAACTTACAGTGACACTGTTACATCATCATAATCATCATAAAACCATCATCAATATGGAGAACGACCAGTTGGCCAGAAAGCCTCTGATGGCATCTGAACAGAATTGAGAAGATTAGGAGGCAAACCATGAAAAAGTGGAGCAGTTGCATCCCCTAAAAGCTGTGTCTGTTGTTGTTGTTGCTGCTGCTGTTGTTGTTGTTGCTGTTGACCAAGTCCACCAGAACCAGGAGACCCAATTGAACCACCTTGCAGTGCCATGGAAGGATCTTCTTCTTCCAAAGGGAGTCTCTCATATGCAGCGTTGCTGAATGAAGCAGACATAATCACCACTGGTCCTGAAGCAAGAAGTGTTCCAACAACACTTCCTCCTACAACCTGGCCTTGACCACCGGCCAAATATATGGTCAGACCCGAAGCAGCTGGCGGAGCTGGCGGTGGCAGAAACGATCCAGCAAGGGACAAGATCTCGAACCTTCCATGAAGAGTAACAACAGCACCAGAAGAAGCTGGTTGCCTGAGAGTTACATTAGAGACTGTTCCAGTGCCACTCATGATACAAACCCCTCTTTGGCGACGCCTAGCGAAGTTTGAAACGCTTTCAACGATGTCACAACCGTCAGCAACCTCCATCACGTGGGTTTTTAGGGCATTTGCGCTGTCGCGCGTGATGATAATTGGTGGCTTGGGTTTGTTCTTGGATCCAGCTGGTCTTCCTCGAGGTCTTCTTGTCATTTCAGTTTCACCGGAGCCGCCACCACCACCACCTCCTCCTCCGCCATCTTTTCCTTCACTGCTGTTATTGTTGTTGCTGTTTTCTTCTCTTTCCCTTTTCGGTGCAAGGTTTAAGCCACCGCTGCTTCCGCTTTGTTCGTCTTCTGTGTTTTGCTGTAAAGCATGGAACTGATGATGGTGCAGATGGAGATCTCTTGCTGTGTGGAAAGGAGGGGGAAGAGAATGTCCGTGTGCTGTAATTGGATCCATTTGTGTTTCCTTTATCTATTTTCTAATCTATGTAGTAATTATCTCTCAAGCTGATGAGATATGCTTGACTCCTAATTCCTTCTTTTGCAATATACAACAACAATAACAATATCAATCTGCCAATTTCAATAGAAAACGAAAATAAATGAAAGATAACAAGATTATGTTATGTGTGATCAGACCAGACCAGACAGTCTTCTGATTAATTCTTGTTCTTCTCTTTGCTACTTCGATTTAATTATCCAAGCCGTCCAAGTTGAAACTGATGAATGGAAAAGATAGAAGATATGTGAGATTGAAATTGGCGTAGCACGGAGTTGAAGGTTGAATTGACTACTGGAGGAGACAGTGAAAATTGTAGTTCCTGTTGAGGAACTGCAAGAATGATATACGGAGTAAAAGAAAGTAGAAGCGAGTGTTGTGTTGTGTTGTGTGTTGGGTTAGGGTTAGGTTGAGAAAATAGATCGAAGGCTTCGGTAAGACTGCGTGCTTATGGGCGGTGGATGGGTCCCCACCTCTGCACTACACACATATATTTAATTTTTTGTATACCTCAACAACCCCTACTTACATTCAATCTTTTCTTTATTAAATTTTCTAAAATGTTTAGTAAAACTTAATTGGCGGGTTTTTCTTTAACTCTGTTCATCAACATCAACCTATATCATATCCAAAAAGAAAATATATTTATTGAAGAAAAGAATATATATATATATATATATATATATATATATATATATATATAATCTTTCTCATGTTGTATGATTATAATGCCCATGTAGGCCTATATAAAGAAGAAAGAAAAAAAAATAAATCTCACACACATAAACTTTTATATGTATATAGAAGATAAAATTATTTACTAAAAGAGACATTAAACCCTCTATATATATTTGTGATTTTGAGTGGCTATTTTGTCGTTTACAGAGAATATCCACAACACAAACGGGAACTACGGCGGTATATGGCAGACCTGATTTTATTAATGAAATAATAGCTGGCACAATTAAAACTTAACTGGACTAGTGTCATGCACACACTTATAGAGAGATAGAGAGTCTGAGGGTGTTTGTTTTTGCTTCAATTTTCTATGAATCACCACATGCACCACTTAAGTTGTCTGCAAATTAAACTCCGTCTTTATATATATTAACGAAGTCTAACCTTAAGGATGGGGTCCAAATGCTCTAAGCATGACGCGTGCCTCTTCCCCCGCTTCTTTCGGGTCTATTCCTGTGGACTCTAGTCAGTTTTACCTTAATTTGCTACGGTATTAATCATGTGATAACTCGTGACTAGCTCAATAATTCTTTAAAATTTTATTGCCATTATTTTTCTAGTAGTTCAGGGCACAAACTATCTTATCTAACTTGGTCATGGCCGTTGGATATGATCTAATAAGGTTGATCATCTACCAAATTTACAAAATACATACATACACACACAGGCCTGCAAATAAACAACGAAAGAAAACTAGTTAGAATAGGAACTCAACATATTTTAACATTGCCATTATAGTATAACTTTTATATATATACATATATATATATATATATATATAGTCTACTCGAGTGATTTACACTTAAAAGGTTTGCATGGAATCCGCTAGCTCAGTAGCTCCACTAATTGTTAATTTTGAAGGAATTGGATCAAATACGCAGAGTAAATAAAGCAAAAAAATATGTTCAGAAATTGATACGGAGAATGTTCTAACGCAAATAAGTTGATTTAGTTCAGAAATTGATTTTGGTTTCGTTTAATTTGCTAGTATATAGGATATGTATATATCACCGAGCAAGAGCCAGAGCTAGCTATAGAAACATTTAGGATATGGGCATGTCGTTCGAAATGTGTTGAGATGGGACGAGTAGTTGGAAGGGTGAAGGAACCTACATCTATATGGGTTGTTTCATGGGAAGGGGCGCAGCTAGTGACCCACATGCACCACACTTTGGGACAATCGGCGGCTTAAAGTCTTTAAAGGGAAGTGGAACCAATCTCGAGTTTATTTTACTATAAAATCGAGATTAACAAGACATCAAACATTGGGTACACTGCCACAAGAAGAAAATACTGAGTCTTAAAATAAACGTAATATATATTAGATAATAGCTTCAAGAGGAAGGGCTATTGTCAAACTTGCAAAAGAGTACGCGTACTAGCTCCTTTAACTATTTTATTATGCAAGTAAATAACGGTAATTAGCCAAAGATGGGTCACGAATATGTAACTAGAGAAATTGTTTACAAGGGGTACGATATATGGGGAAGGATAAACGTATATCCATTATTAGTCATTTAACACTCTAGCATGTAATAACTCTAATTTATTAGTAATATGAACTGTTACATATGCTGCTAATAATAAATTTAAAACTTGTTCAATTAAGACAAGTGTAAGTTCATCCTCCCTTTATTTATATGTAAGGGAAAAATTATTTGTCAAGAATATAAGTTTATATCATTTTACCCCTTGTGACTATCTGGGGAGTATATAGTTATAATATGGAATGGAAGTTTTTTTTTCTCTCTTTAGAAACTTTTCAGAACTTGTCGACTGACGTAAAGAAAAAAAAAAAGCTTTCATATTATAACTATGAGGAAGGTTATACTTACAACTTTTTTTTTTTACAACCTCTTACAACTATATCTTAACAGCGTTGATTTTCAACAATTAACGGTTATCATTTATTGTGAATTAATAATTAATTAATGAGTTTAATTTGCGGAAATCATAACCATTGATTGACGAAAATCAACGGTGTTAAGATATAGTTGTAAGAGATTGTAAAAAAAAAGTTGTAACTATAACCTCCCTCTATAACTATATATTCACTTAAATATATAGTTATAAAGAAATAAAGGATATAAACTTTTATCTTTTACTTTAAAAGAACACACAATAAACTCTATTTTAAATTCAACTAATCAACTGTCAGATCATATGTTAGTTAGGAACTTGAATGGAATTGATATCTTATACAATTGTGAATCGGAAATAAACCTATTCTTCGTAATCACAGGAGGTTGACTAACTAGGTTAGTTATTAAGACGAGTGTAGTTAGGGGAGAAGTGTGTGTTTGAAGGTAACAAAATGACTGGACGAAAAAACATAGTGTAGAGGGTGTAAGGTTGGTGGAGAGCACGGGGTTGACGGCATAATACAGAGTGTTGGAGAGAGAGAGTAAAAGATGCGTGGGTGGCGCTAGCAGGCAGGTATAAAAAAAGAGAGAGAGAGAGAGAGTGGAAAGCGTCACATTACGGCACGAGCGCCGGAGAGTATGCTGAAACTGAAATTTAAAAAGGCAGAAGAAGCCAGCTGAGCTCACAACTCACAAGTAACAAACAAGTTTTGCTGTGCGTAAATAAAACCCATGCATCCAAAGATGCTCTTTGTCGGCCTTTCTCTCTTCTGCTCCATCCAAACTCATGGTGGACCCCTCCCACCCTTCTCTTAATACGTGTCTGTCAGATTCTTAATTACACGCGTGCCCTCTTCAACCCCCACTCTTATCCAATAACCATTTCTCAGTTAAGGGTCACTAATCACAATCATCATGTGAGGAATATATTCTTTATAATCTAGCTACAATCTTCAGTAAATTTTTTTATCAGTAACACAGTTGCTTACGATGGAAATTGTGCACAATCTCGATGTTTTTTTTTTCTGTGGTAAACGGTAATACTATAGGAGATGTTAATTCAACCCTCACCTCTTAGTTATCCTGTGTATATAAAGAATTGAGTTAAAACATTGAAGTCTGAAATCCAATATTTCCAAAAGCACGCAAGGTAAGACGCCGAAATTGATAGACTTTTATACGCGCCATGTGACGGGATTTAAATCTCTCTCGCTCAACAGAATCCTGTAATTAATGTTACAGACTTGTTAGTTATTGACATGGAAGCTTGAAACACTGTCAACTCCATACCATGTTCTATACTTGTATTCCTTTCTTCGATATTTGAATTCCTTGTTACTCTATATACTTTAGTCCATATATATTTAACTTCAATCCATTTTTCTACTGCGCCCCTCCCCAATGAAATAAAAGGAACTCTTCAACATTAAAATAAGGAAAAAGAACATACATTAATTTTCCAATACATACATGAACATCACAACAATTCATGAGTAGCCAGGTCATAGAGTTTAACACTCAAACTAAATAAATAGAAACTTAGATTAGGTATGAAAGATCATTAATTCATCATATAAATCATTGTTTTACCAACATTTTACTTAGAAAAAGCAATTTTCATTAACCACAATCAAAACTACAAAAATTACCGCCGTGGAATTCAGTTCAAGCTCTGAATTGCTAAAGATTGGTCGAACATATATTTCACCGTAACCCTCAGTATCTAGTCTCTACTAAATCTTTGAGCAGCGGGGGAGCAAGTGACCCATCATAGTATTTTCCTACATGAAAACTCCAAAATGGCACGTTTGCAAATCCCTGATCACAGGATTAAGATATAAGAGGTATGCTATTAGAGAAATACAAAATAATTAAAATATTATCACCTAACGCCTTAAGGTTTTGGGTTGAAGTGACGCTTATCATGATATCAGAGCTGAAGTAACTAAGAGGTTGAGTTCGATCCTCACCGGTCACTGCCTCCCACTTTCAGGTTAAATTAAGAAAAACATAATTAGGTAAATCAAAAAATAGACTTGTGTAGCACAAAATAGATAAAAAAAAATGGATGTGTCATATCTACGTCTCAAGACTCTTGCGTGAGAGGGTATGAGTGTATTAGAGAGATGCAAAAGATATAAAATAATTAATATTGCTGAATTCCCTCTCCATCGACACTCTCTTTGATTATTTCCCTTCTTTCTGGCTTCAAATTTAAATCAGCTATAATAGAGTCTGATTCCGTGCTTCCCTTTTTCACGGTGTTTTTGTGCTTGCAGCCTTGTAGGTTCACTTTCTTTGACTAGAGAGATTGTGGATTCAGCAATATTTATCAATTCTCTTCCTTTGATTACCTTC